GTTTTTATCTTGGAAAGATCTTGAGCATCATTTTTATTTCATATAAAACGTTTATGCTAGACACTAACACTGGTGAAGGGATTCAATTTTTTACTTCTTTTCAACTTTTCGTGTTTTCGATGATTTGTTAAATATTTCTAGGTCGGCAAATTGTCGCCCGATCATCGAGCTTCAGTTTTATTTTACCCATCAGCCAATTTTTTTTTGGTAAACCAATTATCGAACTACGATCGAGCGACTTTATAAACTGACCGCTGATCGTTTGGACGATTATCATAGGTTGAAGATTGCTTCAATTGCAGAAAGCGGCCACCGGCGCAAAAAAAATAATAACTTGGACCGATGGTGAAACAATTAGTTAGCCGACTAAAAAGAGAGCCCAAATTTCGACAAGACAATGATCGATAAACTGCCGACTGTTTCCTAAGGAATTCAATTTTTGCTTCAAAAACCATCGTCGTGGGGATTTAGAGGTATTACACTAACTGTGACTTCGCGAATAAGAATCTGGGCATTACGAAGGAAGCACCTTATCACCAGGATACTGACACAGAGACTTTATTTGAGCACAGTGCAATGAACAATGAATAACTATAGCTCAGAATCATGAAATTTTTCCCTATTAAAACTATTTTTTGTTCTCGTCAGTGCTTAAAATTTACATATTAACTATGGCACATTAATCCTTTGTATTTACTTTTTAACTTAGAGTTTACAGGATTTGTGTAATCAAATAATACACACCGGGAGCAGAGCAAACAAGGATTTTTAAAAAGATTGATTCACCCTCCATGGTAAAGTGAGCATCCCCTGCAGACCAGTCAGACCCAACTTTGTGCTCTTGTCATGATAGTGAAAGACGTGTGTAAACATTGACCTTGCAATTAGTTCGGAATATATCAGTTAGCATTTGACTAAATTGAAAAATGTATTTGCTGACAAGGCCATTTTATCGTCAATAAAACTTTCAAATTGAAGAATTCGAATGAGACTGTTGATATTCTTGTTTCATCAACCTGTTTGTCAATAGCTTGCCTCGTTTTATAATATATATATATATATAGGCAAAATTTAGAACTGAAAATAAAATACGACGAAATGTATTTCTCAAACGAATTTCGGCGCCACACAACTGTGACATCATGCCCAATTCAGTGAAGCAATACTTTATTAAAGGAGTTAGAGATTACTATAGAATAATTAAGAAAAGCCTTAATAGAAAATCAATTTTGAACGTACTTTAATTACAATGGAACTATGACCTTGATTTAAATGAAAGATATGGAGATAATGAACAGTATTCAATATCAAAGTCCATAAAGCAATACAAAATTGGAGCAGAGCAAGCACGGACCTCCGAAACATCAGAGATAGGGTCAGGTGCCATGGAGGAGTGAGCATCCCATGCCGACCGGTCACAGTTGCTGCGTGCTCCTTGTCATGATCGGGAAATAAGGAAAAAAAATTATCGTAAATTCAATGTTTAAATAATGGACTAACAATTAGCATGAAAAACATAAGTCAGCATTTGACTAAATTGTATTTGCTGACAAGGTCAATGTATCGACCATAAAACTTACTATATGACGAGTTAAAACGAGAATGTTGATATTCTTGTTTCATCAACTTGCTTGTCAATAATTTACCTCGTTTTAGAAATTGTTTATACGTAGAGCATGTTCTTGCGTATGAATAAACTGAGATATACTTATATACTCCGTATGCAGATGATGAAGGTATATTGCTGCATAAGTAAGGAAAGTTGACGATAGAAAAGTTAAAATCATTATTTCGTTTATCATGTAGCTTGGTTGTTAGATTACCATTATTGTCTTTTTCAAGTAAAATATCCAAGTACGAAACAGATGTGTCAGACTCTATGGTATCTTTTATCTCAAGCTCACCAGGATATATCGTATCGACGTAGGAATCGGAATTACGTACGATAATGTTAATTGACAATGCGTCGTTGATATATCTTAATGTGGAGTTGAAGGTCTTAACAATGTTGTTACCTGCTTAGTGATCAGGAACCAGTACTACTGATTCTGTAATTTATCTAATTCTTTTTTCACTTCTGGATTATTGAACAAAGAAGGATAGATGGTTTTCATATTGCCCCTCAATCTTTTAATACGTGTCTTTAACATGAAACTGATACATTTTATCTAATCTGACAAGATGTCAACGTCTTCTTTTTCATATGTGGCCCATCGTCTGGAGTAATTTTAAACAGAATCCATAATATCTATAAAATTCAGAAGCTAATTGAAATATCGGGGTTCGCTATATTTAGGATTTTATAAAAAGTGATCTAAGGTCTTCATTATATTTACGTCACCTGTAATAACGTGTCCAGCAGGACTAAAGTTATAGGGCGAAGAAGAACATGAACACGATGGAGGATTGTGTTTCACATACTCGGTATCAAGACCATGTAAAAGATTTTTTGTAATTGAAAAGTTTGGATGCAATGTATGGTCGATGTATATTTGTAGGAAATACAAGGTGTATTCTTTAACTTTTAATATGGTGGAACACAAGACGGGTCCCTTTTGTGATAAAGAATCTAACTTATATTAATCGCATTAATTCCTTTATTGGCGTATTGAAGTTTAAGGAAAAGACGGATTGTTTAAGCGGCATTTTCCTCCTTAAAACGTGTTGGTTAAAAAAGCCTATGATATGCAATATTCATAATCGAGCCGATATTCTTGTGTCGAGGACTATATAAAAGTTTCAAAGGGACAGAGTAAAGTTTGGTGCAAATATGATGTAGAACTAACTGTTGATTTACATGTGGTAGTATTGAATCAAAAGAGACGTTGTGTATTATAGGTTTATTGTACGACCGATGCACGTGACTACGCTAACGTCTTATTGTATGGTTAAAAAGTTTCATCACATTTGCATTATTACACTGTGGACTTAGAAGTTTTCCAACATTATCGACATTGTCACTGCATCCACAGGGAAAGGCTGTCCCTAGTTTTCTAATCCTAAATACTTCGCGTTGTGTACGGAAAGATGTACTCAGCGACGGACTATTTGTGTGGTGATTCATCTTTTCGAGAATTCTAACTTTCATTGACAAAATAGAATGTTCAGGCAAATTAAAATGTTTGCTGACCACCATGATTTATTTGAAATCGATGAGCTGATTTTTTTTTATTGATTAAGTGATCCCTTGGTTTCACCAACAGAAACAAGTCCACACATATTACAATCTACTAGTATTACATACAACAACATTAGAAGACTTGCAGTTTAGATTTTTCCAAGTTTTGGTATAGAAGCTCTGTCCAGTAAGATAACTGGTGAAAGAAGTGTTAGTTATCAAATATCGAAGGTATTACAGTTTTGCAAAGAACATTTTGAAACAGAAGAAATGGGATCGGAAAAGGAATTATCCAATATATCTGTAATAGAAACCTTACATTATTTTAACCGGACTACGGTGTTGTTGTACTGTTAGTAAATAAAAACAGAAATGGTACTGCACGAAGTGAGTTACTTATTTACAGATAGCAGAGCTTATCCATTTTAACCGTAGTCTATGCATTTACATTGTAGAAGAAAAGCTTTCCCTGTGGTTGCAATGACAATGTCTATAGGATTGAATATTTTTCTAAGTCATAGTTAGGCTGGGTAATTGTAATGGACTTTTTAAGCATACACTGAAACGTAAGCCTAGGTATTAGAATAAGATAAACCTTTTTATACTCGATGTGTCCTTTGATTCATTACTACATTGTATGAATCAATCGTATAGTCTTCATTTGGTATTCACTACATTTGCACGAAATTTTGCTTTAGCTCTCCCTTTAAAATTTTATAAAAAGCCTACTTGAAATGGTCAGGAAAAGTTAATATTTGGATTTGTATCTGTGGTTATGGATATTGCAAATCATAGGCTTTTTAAACCACCATTTGTATGAAAAAATGCAGCTTATACAACCTTTTTGTTCTACAATATGCCTACAAAGGCGCAATTACTATAGATAATTTCCTTAATTACAAGAGGGTCCAGTTTTGTAATCCAATATATTTCAACTTAAATACAACACATTGTATATTTTTTTCCTGCAAATATAGATCGACTTTTGCTTTCAAACTTTTTAATAACAAAAGAAAAATCTTGCTTTGTGTTCATGCTTTGTCACTCTACAAATAATTTTCTGTCGGACACTTTATTACTGGTGATGAAAATAGAGTTAGTAATGAGGACCTTAAATCACTAATTTCAAAAGGGCCACATTTTGGAAATCCTGATTTTTCTACTGGCGTCATAACTTTTAGAATATTATAAATACTGTGAAAGATAATGCCAGTGGTTAGTCAGACATGAAACCTTGACACTTTGTCAGAATGGATTAAATGTATCAGACATATGCTAAATTTCGTATTAAACGAATAGGGGGGCAATTTGAAAACCATCTATCCTTCTGTATTCATTTATTCAGAACTGAATGAAAATAGATTATTAGAACACGATCAATATGTGCTGGTCTCAACCGAAAAAGCAGGTAACAACATCGTATTTGTTTGAAAAGCTCATTATTTTAATTGTATTTCAGAAAAAAATGAGTTTTGGTTCAACAAGCGGTAATCAAATTTATACCCACAACTCCTTGTGTAGAAATTCTTCAAAATCGTGTGTAGTTTTTATTAATTTTTAAATGAATGGCAAGGGTATTTGGTGGTGGCAGGACAAAATAAAATTTGCTTGCATGAGACACCCGTTGACCACAGTTACTGGTTGTCCAACCAAGAATAATTCCATTGTATTATGTTATTGTATTTGTATGTATTTGATTATAATCGTATTTGGTCAACAAAAATCTGAGTTAACAAGTTAAAAAAGTGTAACGCCTCGGTGATACAAGCCGTATCACTACACATCAAACTCGGTCGCACTGCAGGCTACAAATGCAATTTTTTTGTCTCTGGTGTAACTAAACAAGGGTATTGCATTTGTTTGTCAGAATGTCATCTGCAGTTGTTTACAGTTGGATGATCCGTTGAAATATGAACAAAACATTCAAATGTCTAAAAGTAGAGATGGCAATAACATGGCTGATGCTTCTGCTTGCTTGCTTTGTGTCGTTTGCAAAGTTACAATACATTCATTACCCTAAAGATAAATGCGAAGACAATTTCAACAATCCTGAACTACTTAACGTGTTTAAGGACGAATTTCATGATCTTAGATTGAAAATAGACAAACTTCAGGAGGACAATCTTCAACTGAGAGAAATGCTAACAAAATCAGAAAAAAAGTTTCCCACATCATGTATGTATATTTTTTATTTGCTATTGAATGTCTGGTGTGCGTGTTTGTGTGTGTTTGTGGGGAGGGGGGGGGGGGGGGTTGAGGGTATGAGTGTATGTATGTGTGTTAGGCTGTGCATGCAAATATATATACATTAGTTTTTAAGACATGCTTTGAATCAATTCTTCTATTATAATCTACATGTACACGTTTTTCTTATTTTAGAGAGGTTTAGTTACAAGAGACGTAATAACGTGTACGCGTAACATTGACGTACACGCTCTATTTGACGTCAACGTCAATAAAATGATTTAGTTATACGTACACGTGTACGTATGCAAACGTCGTGATTGAACAGTAAATTAATTGAACGGCATTGTATTTATTATTTTTAATTTAGACAATCAATGATGAAATGGAATTTACACTTACTCTAGTCATAGATATCATAAACTATGAAAAAATATTATATGTATTGTCATCTCAATGCAGTGAATCGTTCTAAATATTTATCATCTAGTATCTCTACAGGATATTAAGCTGCATTCTGCATCACTTTTAAAATGGAAGCAGTCATAAGAATTATTTACTTGACGATAAAAACGACTACATTTTGCACTTTGTGGAGGATGGTGGGGTCCAAGTGAAAATTTAAAACGATAAAATGTGAAGGATCAATCATTATAACATCTAGAAAAAAGGCATAGAATAAAATTTAATACATCAATACATTGTTCAACCCAAAATCAGACACCGCCCGCCCCCTTTTTTTAAATACGCGTCTGCGATAGATCTTTACAAGTGATAGTACCAAAGACAAAAATAGTTAATGAAATAAAATCTCAACAAGCACTTGACTTTACACATAGGCCTACTACCTGTAAGTTATTAGGCGCGGTGTTATATTTTTTTGTTATGTCACTAGTGCCAGTGGATGTTATATAATAGTTCTAAAATATCTTATTATAAAAAAAAATAAAGAATATAGAGGTGTTAAAATAGGTTTTAATAAAAATAACAGGAAGGGAAAATCACCAAGAAACCATAAACTTTTATTTGTTGCATTGGCGGGCGAGGTCTTCTTCAAATGAATCCTGCCTACAAAATAAACATGCTGTTTGGTATCAGTTTGAGTTTAACTTTTCATTGATAAAAATACTAATTAATACTTTGATGGAATCATCGAATCATCATTCATGAAAGTTTTAGATAGACTAGTGTTCTTGTTTTATTGCACAAAAATCAATCAACTGCATCGAAAAATAAAGAATTTAACCCATAACTTTACCCGCTTACGTCGTACGTGTAGACAGTGTATTACACGTTCTAAACTTGTAGCTACACGTCGGATTTGACGTCATGACGTCGAAGAACACAGCAATTGATGACGTCACCAGTACAAGTTCGTCGCAAAACGTGTAACTAAACCTCTCTAGTGTATTACACGTTCTAAACTTGTAGCTACACGTTGGATTTGACGTCATGATGTCGAAGAACACAACAATTGATGACGTCACCCGTACAAGTTCGTCGCAAAACGTGTAACTAAACCTCTCTTTTATATCCATCATTTAAATTTCTAATATTATTTGTTTAATCGGTTGAGAAGCTTATGCAGAATTAAATTTATTCATGTTTTCAGCTAATAGGATAGCGTATCGGATACTGGTGAACTGAATTTATCATTTTAAATACGATAGTTATGAGACTTTTTTCCACATTAAGGCTTACTTACTTACCTTTTATATAGCTACTCTTCTCTCTTCATGTCTCTAATTTGACTTAAATCTAGATATTGTTCTCAAGGTAGTCCGATCCTCAGGTACATAAAAATAGCAGTTAAGTATTCAAAAATACTCATAAAAGTATCTCAGAATCCACAAATTTATGTAAATTTATCCACAATATTTCTTTAAAGTTATAGATTAAAGTTAATCATATTATATATGAAACATTGTCAGATCTCCAATATTTTATGCAAAAAAAAAAGCGAATTGGAATATAAGCAATGCATTTTCTAATTGCAAATTGATCAGCAAATATATTTGAGGTTAAAAACGATAGGTATCAAGGCATTCAGAGAAATCGTTATGCTTTTTATACTTATTTGATATTTTTTGTCTTCTATTTCCGTCATGTATTCTATAATACATAGTAAAAAAGGCTTTTGCTATCATTGCAAGACGACACCACAAATCACTTCTCATTTCATATCATGCTAATAATCATTGGTATCTAAAGCTGGATTCAAGAAAATCTTATTTCTCTAAAACTGAATTAATTTTTTCTATTTTTGTAGGGTAAAAATGTCAACTTTTATAGAACCTTTTGTAAGACTTCAAAAGACCTTGTATCTTATAAAGATGAATAAAATAAAAATTGTTGCTCGAAAAAATTCATTTTCAAGCTTCATTTTGATGCATTGCAAATTTAAAATTAATTTTTGGAGTTATCCTTCCTGGCTAAGGATTGGATATCCTTAATCTAAACATTTGCCTTCCCAAAGAAAAATAGGTTTACTAAATATCTGTTTCATCTAAATCTATGGGGATGTACCTGGAATATAATACAGCCTGACTGACTTTAAATAATGCAAAAGAAACAGAAGAGTAACCTCGTAAAGAATAATGATTTAATCTGATCCAAATGGTGTAACAGAGAACTTGAGATAAAAGATACCATAGAATCTGACACATCTGATTCATACTTGAATATTTTACTTGAAAAAGATGTTAATGGTTTACAACCAAGCTTATGATAAGTATGACGACTTTTCTATCGTCAACTTTCCTTACACATGCAGCAATATACCCTCATCACCTGCACACGGAGTACACATATCTCAGTTGATTCGATACGCAAGAGCATTTTCAATGTATGAACAATTTCTAAAACGAGGTAAATTGTTGACAAGCAAGTTGATGAAACAAGAATATCAACTGTTTCCTTTTAATTCATCATTTTATGGTCGCTACAATGACATTGTGAGCAAATACAATTTATCATTGCGACAAATGCTGAATGACGTTTTTCATACTTATTGTTACTCCATAATTTATAAACTGAAGTGACGATGGATTTTCCCGTTATTTTCCGATCATGACAAAAAAAACGCAAAAAAAACAAACGACTTTTAGTTGCGGGACTGAATATTTTTTCAGTAGTTTGAATGGAAAGATCTTTTTCAAATGGGTCAGTTTTAGAATGAGACAAATTTTTACATCTGAATTGTCCTGCGAGAATTCGATGCTTCTCGCATTCAAGACGTGAATACTACTGCTTTTCGTGCTATATAACACCAAGTCACCAACACTCGTTAGGCAACAAAAAAGCATGAAAAAACTGCTGAAAGCAATGTAGTCAAGGAAAATAGCCCTGTCGTCCCCTGATATGTATTTTGGCTAAGAAAAGTAGTGTTACATTTTTTTTTTGAAAATATAGACCTGATAATAATTTAACACATTTTAAATGCCTTATTTAAATCTTCTCTATTTAGTTTCTATAATTTGTATTGATTTTTAGAGAAAAAAACTACAAAGAAATGCATTGATACTTAAGAAAAAAATATTTTCCAATTTATTGCATCTTGTGAAGCTAGACAGCACACACATTTAACTTATAAACCTTTATCTATTTTTTTCTTACTTTTTCATCTAATTATTGATCTACATTGAAACATTTTTGAACGTATTAGCTTAACATCTCAGAACATATGAATTTAAGTATTCGCGAATAAATTATCAAATTTATGCACTATATGATATTTGTTTTTTAAATTAAATTAAATATAAAATCCTCATGAATTATCATAATAACGCCTGTCGTGATACGAGAGCCACAATCTAAGCAAAGAGAAAGTTGGAGCTACTTTTATCGTTTTAAAATTGTCAGTGCGAAGGCTTGAAACCATTTAAGCTTCGGTGAGGATTTAAGTAATTGATACATCATAAAAATCTTCTAACTTATTCTGATTAGAGCTATCTTTTAATGTTTTGTGGGTTTGATATTCTTTAACCATTCATTGTTGGCCATGAAATTTCCAAATTTTTAAAGCTGAAAGCAAAATCCTGGCTACAGGCATCATGATCAACTGTCTTACAATAAATAGCACAGTAAACAAAAAACCACACAACCAACAAACTAAAACCATTGCAAGACGATGTTCAAAAAAATATTTTTAACATCCCAATTGTTGGTCAAGTTAATGATCAATATCTTGCTTGATAATTAAACTGAAAAAAGAAAGATAGTTACTTTATTGGGATAACCGTGATATACATACGCTGCTGAATGCAAATTGTCAGCGAACTTTTTTTCAATAGCGCAGACATTTCGAAATGTTGAAATCGTTGATGAGTTTCACATCTTTTTTGTCGATGTTATATTAGTGGATATATTCTTTTTGATTTTTGGAAAATTAATAGTTTAGTAAATTGTAATCTTAAGAAATAAAATAAGTGAAGTCGCTTGACAGTCAATGTACATTTATCAGTGTTTCTACATGAAGTTGGCGATAAAGTACGGTTTGTTTGAAACTAAAAGAATGTCTATAAAATATACATGTGCACTATTTTAATTATTCCTAAACTGAATTTTTAAATTATAAGAAAAATGCTTATCAAATAGAAAATATGCGAGAGCTTCTTGGAAATTTTATTTATTTAATTTCAAAATCATAACATATCTTGGGATCTGGACTGTTACTTTTAATTACTGGTATATAGGAAATTGATAATTATAATCGTACAAACTCTACCTTATAAAAATCAATGACCAAAGGTAAATATTAAATATGTACTAAATTCAGTTCAGAGAATAAATACACAAGCAATTAAAGCCCGGCTTTCAGTTCTTTCAATACTTTGATTATGTTTTTAAACTTATTTTTACTAATATGTGGCGAGTGCAGCACAACGGCAATTAATTGATATCTTTGCTCCCTTCCTCATTATGTCATTTAGTGTGTGTTTTCTACGAATTTAATCTTTAAAAATAAACAACATCTACAAAGGCATTTAAAACACTCTGAACTATAATCATGCTTTTATCATTTGTAGTTTTTTGCCTTATTGTTCAAAAGTTATTCTTTGTTTCAGGTTCAGATGCAATTGATGAATTCCAACCAGGATTTACTCTAACGTTTGCAGCACAAACAATTACAACCAAAGAAACGCCCTTAAAGATTGGAAACATTATATCTAATTATGGATCTATTCTTACCGAGAACAATGAATTTGTTATTTGCAGGGATGGGGTATACGAGTTTTTGCTTCACCTGGTCACCGAATCAAGCGAGAACGGGGCGTGGATTTACAAAAACAATAAACCGATGACATTAGTTTGGCAGAGTGGACCTGTAAATGTGACTGGCGTAGTTTCGGGTACAACTTCTTCTGTTGTTGAACTGTTCGCTGGAGACTCTATATCTATTCGGTCTTATCGGGGCGATCTGCGTGTTTCTGGATTTTCTGCATGGTCTGGGCACATAGTATCAAATCTATTTTATAAAGCATCCGTTTTGGTTGTCACGCTTCAACTCCCTGATTATTCTTCATTTGCATTCGGTCGACACATAATCACTAAGATAGGAATTACTCCTTGACAGGGGATTTTATATGTTCTGAGACAGGTCTCTATAAAATCAATTTACATGCAACAATTAAGTCCAATAACACTATATATGCATCGGTTAGCAAGGCAGATGCGAAGATATTCTTATATTCACAAGATGTTTATACTTCCTTTACATCATCGTCCTTGACATCAATAATAAATCTAACAAAAGGCAGTCGATTAGATGTTTATATTTCTAATGTACTGAATGAGATTGAGTTTAGTAACTCATCTGTCTTTTCTTTTTATTCACTTAACAGAACAGGCAAAAGTGATATCGCGTTCACTTGCACACAATTACGCAAAATTGAAAATAGGATAGCATGTCCAAATTCAACAAAAGAATTCAATGCATCGGGATACATGACTTGTACCATGAAAGGGTTGTACTTTTTTAGCATAGATATTATTGCCAGGAGTAGTACCTTGAATACTGGTGTACAAATTTACAAAAACGATATTCCTCTAACGACTGCTGCGTTTGGAATTAATGTAGACAAAGCTATTTATCAAACAGCATCCACCTCTGTGGTTATTAAACTGAATGTAGGGGATCATATAAGCTTTCAAAAAACAGGCCAAATAGAACGAATTTCCGAAGACTCAAATATTTCGGGATATAGGATATCCTTGTAAGCCCTTTATAATGAATTCTATGTATCCGATATAGGATCAAATCATAGCAGTTGAATTTATAAGTCATGAATTTATCAGATTGAGGGGGGGGGGGTCTGTCACATATGGAATAAAAATTTTTCGAAGTAAACGATACATTCCTTTTTTCTTATCCCTTGATGTGGTGAGTTTCCTGTTACGAATTTGGTATAAAAGTGGACAGTTTTGCTTGATTTAGAATACAATACATAGTTCTTAACATATATCCATTAAAATTCCCACTGTATGCTCATAAGCATGCACTTTTCTTGAGTCATTATGTTCATTTACTTCTTGTGTTTAAAACAAAAAGTAGACTATCAACATAATGATTTTGCAGTGTATTTAATAGATGCTGGTGTGCTTCACTTTACAATTTGCAACAGAAAAAAAACAGCCTATGAAATATGTTAACAGGTTCTAAGTGTAATAATCCTCTGCTCTTAATTTTAAAAAAAAAATCACGACATTGACTTTATTTCATCAGCAACAAAAACAATAGACTAAAATGGAAATCAGAATGAAGTGTGAATTGTTGTTTATTTTACTTTGATATTGACTTTATTTCATCAGCAACAAAAACAATAGACTCAAATGGAAATCAGTATGAAGTGTGAATAGTTGTTTATTTTAAAAGACGTTTAAATCAACCTAAGTGACTTCATCTTGCTGCATCATTTCCCTTATCATCTGCATCTGGGGCCTCTGTTGATTCCATACACAAGAGTATGTACTGCATATTAACAATCTCAAAAAAAAAAGACAACCTATTGACAAACAAGTTGAAAACTTGCTAACAAGCTAAAAACAATTTTAGTGTCATTCAAGGGATTGGGTAATTGAAAAAGTAATTGTAATTGGCTTGAATTTATTACACCTTTCGACAAATTGGAAGTGCATTGTAATTGAATATTTAACTTTTACAATGACTTGTTATTGTAATTCGATGAATTGTAAAAATACAACGTAATTTCAATTATTTTTAATGACATTTCAATTACTTTACATAATCATGATATATCATCACCATTACACTACCACTTAATTTTTTTTTTTATTGCAAAACAATATTCTTAATCCTTCAAGTATATAAAAGCTGATATATTAGTAGATATACAGATAGATGATTGCTTGATAATAAAAATAATCTAATTTATAACTGTTTCTTATCACTATGTAAATATTGAATTTTATGTTTCATGCCCATGTACTAACCTTCTATTCAGCAATAAAAGACACGCTTATTTTATTTCTTTTACTGCTGTTTCATCAGTGACAATGAATATTTTTTAAAGTGTCTTTCAATATCATAAGAGATATCATTGGAACTCTAAAAGACATAAACACAAGATTCAACTCCTCTTTAACAAGAGAAAACGATAGTCAGTCTAAAAATTCAGTAAAGAACTATATTTGTAAAATCATATCCGATGCAGTAATTTTACCATGAAGATGTAAATTATTAATGAATTTTAATTGGAACATTTATATTAAAAAACATCAAAGCTCAAAGGTGCTCTGACACAGATTTGATGTTCTTTTTTTTTCTCAAATTTACTAAATAATTTTTTAAGTTGCAATAGCATTTCGTATGAAACTATAATTAAAATCTTATTTTTGTGGAAGTTATAAAAAATTCGAATTTCTAGACGCCTTTGATTGACACATCCTTACTTTCACAAATTTTAAACTGATGAAAAATAGCGATTTTTTGTGTAATAATGAAAATTGTTATTCCCTCATGATTTGTTCCGATATACAAAATGAATGCTAAAAAAAGTCTAACTTTCTTCAATGTTTTACTAATTTTACGAGGGTTGTTAGAAAAGTTCGTGGACAATGTTAATCATTTTTATATTACTCACTAGAAATTTAAAATAAGCATAATATAATGTGTAAAAATATTTGTTTTGTTGATATGTAAAGTTTCATTTCATTCGATTTAACAAAAATCAATTTACTTCATTTCAAAATCAACATGTTTTGTACCCGCGGAGCACACTTAACGGCAATGTAACGTCAAAACATAGCGTCGAGAATTTCTACAAAATACTATCCCTATACATTTCACAAGTATAATACAATACCCATTCATTAAATCCTTTTTTTAATACTAATACTAGTTTTTAATTCCTTTTATAACTTAATTCTTCTTTCATATGATAAGCAACTCTGAAGCGCCTATGTCTTTCCATGACGTTCCAAATTTTTAAAGTTTTGTTAAGATTTTTACAGTTAAACCGTTTCTTCACAGATCATCCTCATCCGATACATAGTCTCTGTCACTCAAATACTGCCTGTACTATTTGTACACATATGCATAACTTGTTTGTGACATTTTTTTTATTCCTCCAACATTTTTAGAGTTTATTTAGGATTTTTCCTGAGTAAAACACCAAATTGAATCGTTGCTCCGTGATGTTCTAAAACGTCATCGTTTTTGTCGTTTTCAATAAAGACTACCTATCTTCTCAAGTTGATTTCTTTTCAACAAAGCAAAATATAAAACCAAAATTTGGTACACGAATTGATGTAACAATTCTTAATTTGAATTTCTGGGTTGTTTTTTTTTTTTGTTGTTGTTTTTCCTCCATTTTACAGAGAATATGACTGCAGACATTATTTAGAGCATTGTCTGTAACTTACTAAATTTTGACTTGCTCCGCGATCCGATTTTTGCATTTTTAAAATCTAGATAAGTTTTGAATAAATCGTAATATTTTTTTAAAAATTCATACAAATCATTTGGATTTATTGTTAAAATATTTCTACCAAATTTGGATAATATATGACGTCAAATAAAAAAGATATGACAGTTGTCCACGAACTTTTCGAACAACCCTCGTATATATAAGCAGGCATTAAAAATTCGATGCCCGCTTAGTAAAATGTTAGACTGGTCAATGAGGTGTTGGACTGCTTACGTCACAGAATGGGAGGGGTCAACTATTTCTCAATATGCATGCAATCGTTATAATCCGCAGTTTCTGCATTGCGGAAAATTGAAATTAACATTCAAATGTTATCGTCTGCCATCTGCATCGCAATCATGTAAGGAAGTGCTAGGTTTTCTTCATATAATGATGAAGAAAGTGAAAACAAAATGGAAAATCTAGACAGCAGCAATAAGTAAAATAAGGTGAAATTCGCTGAAAGAATATTGTCGGGATATCTAGTTAATGAGTACAAATCCACCACTGATTATTTTTTAATTGAATGCAAATAATTTGTTTCATTTATTAAATGTAAAAATCAAAAGTGAGAGGTCTAACAAAACATTTATAGACTGGTTTCTCAGGCAAAATGCGTTTTGTCGGTCCCTCGAACCAAACTGTCTAACTTTGGCCTTCCAAACACAGGCCGACAAAATGCATGCTGTCTTCGAACCCAGTCAAAAATGTATAATATTAAAACTATGATATAAATAATTCAGAGTATAAATATGCGAAAGAATACCCATTCCCTAGTAATGGAATCATTTTAGGGCACAGATAACAAATTTTCATCTTTTCATACACTTGCCATCATCTGATTCCCTCATATTTCCATAAATTAATTCATTCACTCTCTGCTGCACTTCATTTTTGATTCAATCGTAGGATCACACGTTAATAGATTTGTGGCCATTCTTTTTCTGTTATAAGCTGTTCCTCAATCTTCATACAAACAGGTCACCGCGCTTGTTCTCAAAGAACGTTTCCTATATTGTTCTGATTGTTCAAAAAATTTGCGATAAATTTTGTCAAAACTTGAAAACCAACTTCCGAATCTTCAATCCTACAGGCTTCCGCTTATGCCTACCTACCATAGAGTTTTTACCACCCTTTGGCGTGTATTGTGGAGAATGTGTATTATTTTCTCCATCCGATGAGGAAATCTTAACAAATGAAGCTTTTCACTGGAGATCAAGTGAGCTATCATTTATATCTAAATTTATCTGACACTGTCCATTACATAAAACAATACAGCTATTTATTTCTCCCCTCACTCTCTGGACAATCAAGTGTGTTACGTTATCACAGCAAATACATTACCATCACCTAGGACAGTTTATTATATTAACAGTAGAGAAAATATTTGAAGTAGGATAGAGTCTACAAACTGTGCATTCTGTAAGAGAAAAAACTCTTCGCGACCCTTCGGGCCTCGAACAATTCTTTCTCCCATACAATTGACATTTTTTTTTAACTTTCTCCTTTACTAAATGTTGACATTTTACCGGGTGTGTTCAATTAATAAACTCTGCACAGACTACTAAGCATGTACTAACAAAACGGATGTGTTTATTAGCTTTTTGCACATTTCTGATCTGAATTTTCTGAAGGCAAACACACACACAAGTCAAATTTAAAGAAATGGTACAGCGATTTTCGTTATTCATATTATTTAGTTCGAAAAAGTAGTTAATTACTCTTATTGACTGACAGTAGAAAAATCAATATTTTTATCGCACAATTGAATTAAAAGTATGAGGTATATATGAATATTATATTTACTATCATACCTATCGAATTCACTTTAGAAAAAAATGAAAAATTACTTTCAGAATATATTGACATTCACTGAATATTTTCCTTCATTTCTTAAGAAAAAAAAACCATTGCAATAATCACTGCATGAACTTCATTAGGCATGTCGCCTGTACATGCCTGTACAGATTTCTTGATCTGTGGCTGTTCCAACAATGAAACGTATAAAGACGTTCGCATCATTAATAGAGTAATTAATCTTTTTAATCCTTCTGTCAATGATTATTAAAGAGATATAAATATAAACAATAAAATATCTTTCTTTGTTATTACTGGAATTAACAGTCGCAGCTATTGCAGAATAAAAAAATATATAACCCGCTTACGCGGGTTATGTATTTTTTTCTGCAACAGCTGATTCCGTTAATTCCAGTAATAACAAACAAGGAACGCATTTTATTATTTAAATTACATTGTTTTTCTGTGCTTCAAACTAATTTACATCCATATTAAGTTTAAATAAATTGCCTATAAATCTTTTAGGTAAACTATCATGAATTAATAATGAAAATGTTGCTAGTAGTTGAAATCAGAT